GAGATCTGTGACCTCAAACGAAATCGGATCATTCCCCCCGACAGGCTCTAACAAAGTGAGCTGATTCCAGGTGCGAGCCACCGCTCCAGCTTTTTCTAAGGATGCCATTTTAGCCATACCATAAGAGATGAGTCACTCAAACCACATAAACTGCACATATTTAGTGCATTCCTCCTTCTACTACCCAAGACTCATGTGTACGTGACCTTATAGAGCCCAGGCTGTCCTATATTGGGATCAGACCATCAAAGGCCAAACCATACTAATGTTAACGTAACCTCATCCTTCAGTCCATAAACTACTGAAGCACTGCACTACAATACCATCGAAAAGATCAAGTCATTTTTCTTGCCAGTCAGTCATGTGAAAACAAAAGATACTTCTTTAAATGTGAGACCAATAATTGAAATTATAAGAAACACTCCCAAATCAATTGATCTATAACAAATTGTCCTCATATTTTGCCTTTATATACTATCCAATTCCAATTGTGTAGATTAATATTTATAAAATTAATCTACTCGATAATATTACAGTTAAATGTTGACTCTTAGTGAAATATATCCCGATAGTAGACTCACAATATCCTACCCTAAAGACTTGCGAACACTCAATATATACTGATACATTGATACGCGAATATATGTCTTCCCAGAATTTAAGTTCTCTCTAAATTTCCAACATGTATATTTTGGTACAATATATGGAACACATGTCTGTAAATTGAAAATTTTATGATAGTCCTCATTACACAGTATTGAACATCTCCAAGCCTGAGAACTTAAGAGTACTAACCATCTTGATTAGAAACCTTACACATTCATTACATTTTTGATTTCTCTTATCCATTTATTGAATTTTTATATTAATTACTCATGCAAAATAATTATCAGCATTTGATAAATAACACTTGCCTACAATAAGCCATTATCACTAGATACTGATAAGCATATTACATAAGATACAGTACATTGGTGTATTAACCATACTTAAGGCTGGGGGCGGGTTTTTCTCTCTAAGATTTTGGGGCTTATACAGTGAAGAATCTCTATCTTGAGGATTGAGAACTGCCAAATGCTTTTCCACACTCATTTTTACTACGACTTTAGTCAGTTCTATTCCATACAGATAATTCGTCCTGGTAACTAGGATGGCAGAAAACTGAATCTTTCGGTCAAAATCCATCCTAATTACAAACAAGATTTGTTGCTGTGGATGCAAGTGCAGTGGATAAACATCTTCCCACATGTAGGTCATTCAAAGTTAATGGTTTTTGACATTAAATAATAAATAAACACGATAGTCCAAGGCACTTGATAAAACAGTTTTAATATTTCGTCTATAACATTGATTACATGACTTACCTTTCTCATATCAAGATCTTTGCAGTGGCCGACCATATGGCCTGAATCAATTTGGGTTTTTCAAATCCTATTTTCCAAATACAATGTCAATCTGTATGGACCATTATCGTCATTTTTTCAAATTTCCACAAAATAGCTTTTGTTCCTTTATAAGTACAATGAAATTATCTATAGTTTGAAAATAATTGATTTGTACTCAAGAAACCCTATTGATATTTATCTAACTGAACTACTTGAAGGGCTTTGAATAAATATGAAGAGTGTTAATACAGGATTGCTGCTGATTCTTGAGTAGATACTCTTCTTCTATAAGCGAAATTTTTTATCTCTCATAAGTCATTGTCTATATTAAGGACCCATTATTTTATGTTCTATTACTATATTAAAGAACCACACAGCCCAAAATCCAAAACCAGCCGGTATTTCCTTATACTATCAGTGAAATATAATCCGTCAATTCAATGCTGTCATGTGTTAACCCTCTCAATACCGACTAAGGGCTTGTATGTAATTGGACCCCATGGTTATCCCTATCATCTGTCTCTCTTATAAGAAATATGCTTCCAAACAATATACTAGACATAATCCGGGTGAAGAGATGTAAGCTACCGAAAACTATAAAGCTCTCCATTGTGTAAAGGATGTTTGACTCGAGTAGGAATGAATTATTCCACACCAAAAGAAGTCATACGCTTTACTCCTGGTGTAACAGAGATGAATGTTCTCAAATAAGTTACAGATCTGTATCAATCATAATACAAAGTGATGGAAGCTAGTACCTCCTTTGTAATTAGTACGATAATATTATATATTAAAAGATTATAGGTCCAAAGAGTACATTTAAATTATAAGGTGAAGCCTCAAGACAGTATTCAAATATCCTTGGAAATCAACACACTCCACGAGCGTACGTATGTTGCATTTTTGCCAAAACGTCAGCTCTGAATCAAGAATATTTTAATCCACCAGTTGCAGGAACAACAGCTGGCAACAGACATAAATTCATTGACACATATTTTAAGAAGATTTATGGCTCTTTTACTTTCTAGCTCTTTGCTCCTAATCTATAAAGCACAATGCTACTGATATAATGTAATAATGGACTACTTCTTAAACCTGACTTTATAAAGATTAATAATGATCCTTGAGTGCAATTCAAGGAAACAGAACCACAAAACTTTTATATAATAACCAGAAATATCATGAGTTAAAAAGTATAAAACTAATAATAATAGAAAATCACCCTCAAAGAATTTAAAAACTTCTGTTGACAAATAACAAAAATTTTTCTGAATATTCTATATTAACCACCATTTATGTTCCATAGACCAGATGATGAAACTGCGCCCATTCTTGCAACATTAAAGAAACTATTTGGTACACATGAGTGGTTCATTAGTTCCCCATTAATATGGACAAAAACTGATAACCAACACTGTAAATATGAATCATGTTATTAGTGCATCCAAAAAAATATCCATGGTAAATTAACAAGTAAACACAATATGAAAATAATAGACAGGTTGTATAATTAATTCTAATAATTTAGCATCACCGTCTACACTGCACAAGTATTAAAAGCGTATAGTAGAGCCTATACAGGGTCCAGATACCCCAATTGAACCATCAGCACATAATACCTAGTAACCGAACCCGATAAAAACCACAGGATAGCCCTAGAAATCTAAATCTGCACACACATACATGCACACGCGAGGTATTGAATATTATATGTTTACCATTCTGAAACTGGGTATTGATGTCTAGAACCAGTTTCAGTGCTAAAATAAACCCATGGTTTTTATAAAAGATAATGAGTAATTGAATAAACCAAAGATGACATTCATGACCATGCTCGTCCGTTGGTTTATGGAATTACCAAAAATGTGAACCATCCACCTGACAAAGAGCAATAAAATTGGAAAAGCAAAACATTCAGAAATAACCTTTACTCTTAGAAGGATGCTCTGTAAACTGAACAAGTTGTTTAACACGCAAACAAAAAACTAAATCAAGAAAGAAGGCATAGCTGTTCCTCCTCGCTGAATGTGGAGCTTTGTGACCTAAATATTTTCATTTATCTCGTGCTCCACTTCCTATTTTCTGCAAGTATCTACAGCAGGTCCCATAACCTATGATATAAATCCTATTTTAACAACCAAAGAAAATGTTATTCTCCTAAAATAATGTGATTACTTGGATCATTTGACCTTCGCCTGGTGATCCCTGAAGAACTCTCAAAGAGCATGCCTTTATTTTGCCTAACTCAAACAAAGTTTTTGTTTCAGTTTTATTTGACTGTAGTCTGTCTGTTATTCCTTTGTGCCAAGATCAGACTGAGGTGTTAATACTATCAGATTTTCCAGGTGTCTTCTAGATGTTATGCTTTTGTCCTATAGGGCATCTCATGCACATGATTTCTCTAATCTTCCATTATAGCACACAGACCTTTGACATATCTATACTCTTTATTATCGATGTTACCAGGCAATAAGACAATGCCGAGTGGAGAGAGCAAACGTAAGATGTCCCAACGTAACCGGATTATGGCTGTAGTCAGAGTAACAGATTCGCTTCTAACTCACCTACATCACCACCACAAACACACCGATCACAAGTACACGGGACTTCTGTTGGAGCAGTTCTTATATGCACACCCTGGGCTTTACAAAAGTCGGAAGCTCTCCAGAAACATTATTGGCTAACACACTGCTGCCTGGTGACTGGAGTAGGATGGAACAGCGTCTGAAAATACTGCAATTACTCCCAAGCTTTTCCCGAAACAAGCTATCTAATATACTAATCAAATGGGTATCATGCATAGATACTACATTCGAGACAACAGAAATATTTGCCAGTGTATAATGTATGCCTATCTGTGGAAGAAGGATTCCTCAGTCTTACCTCCTATTACATCCACCTGGGACATGGGATACTGCACCATAATCCTCTACCCACACCTGAAGGGATTTGACATTCTCATAGTAGTATAAAACAGAGTTCGGAGTTACTTGGAGTGCACCTCACCTAGTTTACCAACCAACAGAAATCCGAGTACTTCTGAATCAAAAAACCAAAAAAGACATCTCCGGGGTGGGGAGTACTTACATACGGAAACACTGCGAACTTTATGGAGAAAGATCATCCTATCAACATAGGTTTGAGTAAAATAGGTAAACAACTAGTTGTACGCAACTATACATCCATAGCGCTACAAGAACACTCAAGCCAAGCATAATTTCTGAGATGCATGTATGTATGCAACTAAGGACAGTGTATGTTAAAAAAGGAAGACCTGCGTCCCATACACTGTATATCATTATTAAAGAAAACTCCAACTGAGAGAAAACGACGGACTCACGAAGTGCATGGCACTATAAGAATCCTGGTGAGTAGAAGATACTTATAGTAGTTGATCACTATCACTGACAGGAATACAGGCATATAAATCAAATTCCATGAGCCAATCAGTCCCCCCCTGCTTAATGCCAAACAAACGATATGCAAAAATTTCACAAATACATGGAAGGTTAGATAAATCAAGAGCCAAAAAACAACAAGATGGAAGTATCTCATACTGAACCCATTCAATTTATATCACAAAGTACAAGGGAAGGGAA